GTGGCGCCGGGCTTTCCCGTCGCAATGTTCTCCCCGATCGTGCCGACAAACAGGACCGGCTCCTGACTCACAATCGAGATGTGTTGGCGCAGCGACTGCACGTTGAGCGACTTGAGGTCGTGGCCGTCGAGAAACACTGAACCGGCCGTGGGGTCGTAGAAGCGTTCGATGAGGTTGATGGCTGTGCTCTTGCCACTGCCGCTGCCGCCGACCAACGCGACGGTTTGTCCGCTCTTGATCTTGAGGTTGTAGTTGGAGTAGATCTTGCTATCTGGGCGGCTCGGGTATGAGAATTCCAGACCCCGGAGTTCCAAATCCCCATGGACATGTTCGAGTTGCAGACCTTGGTTGGACGCGCAGTCGATGGGAGGCTGGCGGTCGATGATGGCAAAGATGCTGTTGACGGCTTTCTTGGCCTTGCCAACATCGCCCATGCCTTGAGCAGCTATGCCCACTCCAAACGAGCAAAAGAGAATCGGGTTGAGCACCATGAACATACTCTGAAAGTTCACGAGACCTCGCAGCATGAGCCACCCGCCGTAGTAAAATATGGCCGACATGGCATAGATCATCGTCGACTGAGCTACCGAGTACGCGATGCCAGCGACAACGCCGACTTTGGTGTCGGCGGACGCACTTGCGAGCAAACTGTCCAAGTATGCCAAGGTTGTCGCGCCTTCCAAGTTGAACGACGCCACAGTTCGGATTGCGTTGATGGCCTCGCTGAGCCGCGCGCCGGCCTTGATGTCGCCTTCGTTCACACTCTTGTTGGTTTGAGCTGTCATCATTTGCATCTGGAGCATCTGCGACGCAGCCATAAACGGCAGCGCACCGAGAAACGCCACCGTCATGCGCCACGAGTTGTAAAACGAAATGCCAAACGCAACCCCGAGCGTCGCCACGTTGAGCAGAATCGCATTCAATGTTTCCGCCGTCATGACCCGGACAGCAGCCGAGTCGGTCGCCAGCCGCGTCGTCAGCGCGCCGGCCGTGTGCCTGGGATCGTCAAACCACGCCATGTCTTGATGGAGCATCGACTGAAAGCACATGCCGCGAATCCGCCCCGTCAGACGTTCGCACACAATAGCAAATTGGTGGTTCTGCGCCGTCACGGCCACCAAAACGACCACACCCATAATGACAAACCCCATATACCACTTCAACGCTTCCGCACGCATTACATCAACAGTCGAGTCTAGTTGGAAGAACACGACTGTGCACTTGGTCAAGAGTACACCCCACATCGGGTACATGGCGCCATGGAAGAGAGCACCGCCGCTTCCAATCACGACATGCCACGCGTCGGGCGCACTCAGTCCCCACACACGTGACACGGGCACGTTTGGCGCCTCCATTCGAAGATGGTCCAAATCGACTCGGTCGCCATGGTTGGTGTTTTCGGACGTGCCATCGTCCATTTTTCTCCGTGCCAGAGGCAACGATGACACCATCGCCGCCTCCTTCGTCAAGTCAATGGAATGGCTATGCTCGAGGATCGTTTCGATGGTGTCGCCGTGTCGCACTTGCGCACCGACGAGAGCCCTGTAGTGTCCGTTCTCAAGTTGGAGAAGCGATTCGTGGTTGCCATCTTCCAATACCTTGCC